TTATTGTATCTAGTAATCGTTGAAAAGTAGCGGAGGCGGCGTGTAATCCGAATGGAAGTACTTTGAACTGGAATAGTCCTTTTCCTGGTGCTATGAAAGCGGTCAAGGGTTTGCTTGCTTCGGAAAGTGGTACTTGCCAATATCCATTTTTTAGATCCAACGTGGTAAAATATTTTGCAGATTTTAACTTTTCTAGGATATGATTGATGTACGGTAATGGGTAGGCATCTTTTTCTGAGATGTCGTTGATTTTCCTAAAATCGATGCAAAATCTGTATCCGTTGTTATCCTTCTTTTTTACTAGGACGATGGGGGAACTGTACGGGCTATTAGATTTTTCTATGACGTTCTCTTCTAGCATCTTATCTATCTCATCGTTTATGATCTTCTGCATTGCCGGGTTTCGGGGCCTGTATCTTTGTTTGATCGGTGTATTATGTTTAAGTTTTATTGTATGTTCGGTTAGATGTGTTGTTCCTTTAATGTGTTTAAATTTCTCCAATTCGGTTAGTAACAATTCCTGTAATTGTTTTTTTTCGGTATTGTTTAGTGTAGTACTAATGTCGAGCTGCTCTCGTTTCGGACTGTTCGTGAATTCCGGTATGTATGACGGAATGTCTTCGGTCTGGTCGTCGGCCGCGGTATCGGTCGGTAGTTCGGTATATCTTCGGTCTGGTTGTCGACCGCGGTATCGGTCGGTAGTCGGTATATTTTCCGTCTGGTCTTCGACCGCGGTATCGGTCGGTAGTTCGGTATATCTTCGGTCTGGTTGTCGACCGCGGTATCGGTCGTTAGTCGGTATATTTTCGGTCTGGTCTTCGACCGCGGTATCGGTCGGTAGTCGGCAGGTCGTTTTGTTATATATTTTGCTTCTCTGTTGGAGCGGATATCTTGCGGTTGGTGTTTCGTTAACCCTGGAATTGGTCGGTATTCTGTTATTGTCTGCATTGTACGATCTGGATCTGTGTTCTGTTCTGGTTTGGTATTGTTCTCTCCTTCTTACGCGATTTCTATTTAAGATGTTTGATAAATCAAGGCCCCATCTTGTTATTTCATGCATTCCCAGTACTACTTCTGAAGCTAGGTTTGGTAAAAAATGTAGCTTGGCTTTTCTCCAAACGTTGTCTATGGAACATTTTGCTGTAAAACAGATTTCTATGTTGCTGGTTTTTCCATCTGCCAGCGTGATCTTTAAAGCTTTTCTGTCGCTTTTTGTTCCACATTGTTCCAATATTTTTTTACCTTTTTGTCCTATAAACGAATTTTGGGCTCCTGTGTCTATTAGTGCTTTTAACTTTTTACCGTTGCTGAACGTTATCGTTGTGTGGGGTCGTTGATCTTTATAGTGTGCGTAGCTGGAGGTTGTTAGGGAGGACTCTAAATGCTGACTGGGTTGCCTCCTTCTTGTCCAGTCCTGTTGGAGTTTTCCGGTCGGCTTCTACATTGGCAGTTATTGGAAGTTGTTCCTCGGGTTCCGCAATGGCTGCAGAAGAGTACAGCGATAGCTCTGCAGTTTCTTCTATTGTGGCCTCTGCGGCCGCATTTCCAACAACAAGTCTGTCTGTCGAAATTCTGTATTTTGTTATTACGACTATTTGCCTGTGTCCAGTCACACCTTGTATTGTTTCTGTTATATATTTCTTTTTGGACCATATCATATTCTTCCGCTAGTCTGATGATGTCCTGTGTTGACGATACGTCTTGCCTCTTTATATACAACTTGTATGTCGGGTTCATATTGGTGTATATCCTGTTTAGTTCTTCTTGGTGATTGAATTCACCATGTCTTCTGATCATTGTTTGAATATCAATGATGTAGTCTTTTACACCTTCGTTGTTTCGTTGGAGTCGGTTCCGGATTTGCGCTTCCAGAGATTGCGTGAGAACGGAGGAAACGAAGAAATTGCGGAAATCTTGTTCGAAGTCTTTTAATTCGTTCCAATATTTATTATTGTTTCTGTACCATAGTAATGCTTTCCCGTTTAATGTTTCTGGTAGAGCTTGTAAAACGTGGGTGTCTTGTAGGCCGTAAGCTGTCTGGAGTTCTTTCAACCGTTCTATGAATTCTATTGGGTCTCTTGAACCGTCAAAGTGTAACCCCCATTTGCGTACTATTTCCATCTTTCTTTGTCTGTCTTCCATCTGGTTTTCTTCTATTTCCTCTGGGTTTTGGCCTTTTTGAGTTGGTGCCTTGATGATCGCAACTAATCTCGCTCTTAGCTCGCTGAAATTCCCTTCCGTCGACTGTTCTCTGTTTGTTAATTCGGCTATAAGTTCGTCTTTCTTTAATAGGTACACCCAACTAACCTTCGACGTTTCCGGAGCGTCTGTCATTTTTGAACTGTGAATCACCCTGTATTTGAATAAAGTTTGAAATGCAGTACTGTCTCATGAAAATAAAATTCGGAATTCGGTCGTTATTATTGTTTAAATCGAATTTTTCTGCTCGGGCGCCATCTGTGACGTCCTCTCGTAGGAGTCACTATCCGGGTAGCTTTTGGACAGTCAGAGACAGAGTTCAAAATAAAAATAAAACTTTATTGTCTTCCTTAAATTAAATTGACAAAAATCTTATGTACATATTTACAATTTAGTTTAGTCTTCTCAGTACCTGGCCTATTTATTCAAATTAAGTTTGACCTTGTCGTATGAAATTAGTGTTATCGGCAATCAAGTGTGTTTTCGGAATTTTACGTGAACGATGTGTCGATTTAATAACAGCGGACGATAGGTACAAAGGAAAGAAAGAAACTCAACACGTCCCTCAAGTGATTCGGGTTAATAGGACACTCCTCGACAGTCTCAACACGACTGCTTCGGAGTACGGGTAGTGGAGAGCTCAACACGCTCCCCGGATAACGGCGGTATGGAACGGAAACAACTTGTGAACTCAACACGTCCACAAGCCGGGGTAGGGGAGAAGAGAACCTTCAGTCAACACCTGACGATTCTGCCTCTATGAGGAAATAATGCGGTTTATATAGCAAAGTTTTGCCCTTTCTACTGTCGATACACTCCTACTTCATGGGTTGGTTCGCGCGCACGCTGGTTTAACGGTGATGGCTTGGACTCATCGTTACAAGTTATATATATTCCTAGATATCTAAACCTTGCTTCCTGCTTTATTGTTTTGCCATCAGTATCGATTTTACATCGTAGTGTACCTCTATAATTGTTGGGGTCTTCTTTATCTTCTTTCTTGAACATTGCTCATTATGCTGTTTCTCCATGCGTCTAGTATCTTGCAGTACAGTATTAGTTTTTGTATAAGTTTTGTCATCTCTAGGGTTATACTTTCTGTTCCATGTTTTAGAAGCTAGTTGGTTATTTCATCTGGTCCTGGTGATTTTCTGTTTTTGAATGAATTTATGGCTATCTCTACTTCCTGAAAACTGATTTCTATTTCGTGTCTTAATTCAGGTACGTTATTATATTAAAGGCTCTGGTTTTAAATGCGGCAGACAAGAAGCAACTTTCATATCAGCAAAACCACTATGGTAAATCAAAGAACTGTAAATAAAATAAGAGGATTGTTATTATAAATTCCATCGAGTTTTTTTATTCAGTCAATAAAAATATCAATCTGGTCTCAAATTGCTATTACCTCTTGAGGAAAGAGTTTATATTCCGGTTTTTAGACGAAAGAAGCAGTCAGTAGGTTTACGTTTTCGTTTCAAAATCGACCTATTTCCAGTCTTCCAAAAATTACCTAAATAATAATGCAATTCCTCTTCTGACTGGCTTTAAAACTCGGGGTGAGCCTTCGCCACATTCACTATAGCCCCCACTACGAAATGTAACTTTCGATAATTAGTTTATGTCGATACCTTTAGCCTTAGATTTGCTACAAAAAGAACACAAACTAACCGTTACGAAGGTATTTGACTGGGTGTTAAGGAGATATTTGACTGGGTCAAATTACAAGACGTTATCCACTTGCTGTATGCAAGAGAGATACCCCTAGGAATAATCAAAATGATCGAAAATATCTACCAAAACAACACAATAAAATTAAAAGTAGAACAAGAATTAATTGACCCAATTGAAGCTAAGTCTTAGTCTGATCAGGGATGGAATAATAAAAAAGTAAGAATTAAAAAACGATACCAAATAGGAGAAAAATAACTTAAAATAATCTGCTACGCAGACAACGCAACACAACTCTCTCAACGTGAAGATGATTTTTTAGTAACTGCTTTTCTTCAAGTGTTTTTAGATTGACTATCTACCTGTGTAAAAGCGCCTCTTGTAAAGGAAAAATGCTAATTTACCCTTGTTGCTTAAATGAAAAATGTTTAAATGTGGTTTATTAACATTATAATCAGTTCTTAAGGATTAACGAAAAGATATAAATCCAATTTTTTATTAATATTGTGAACAAATGATAGACCTAATTCTAACATAGTACGTTATAATTATTATATTCGAACCATCTAGTACCTCACTAGTCTTTTACAGCGTGAGAAGACCAAAGGGCAAATAAAGAAAGCTTGGGTCGTATTACGATATAAATGTGTATAAAAATCTGTCGCACTACTATCTAAAATGTACTTTGAACACGGAATTATTTTTTGTTCTATAATTCTACTACTAGCTTTTACTTCATCGTTTATAAATCATGCGAATATTATAAATTATGCTTATTTGAAGAAAATTACCCCAATCGCCCCACTTTTATATTCCGTATTCGGGTTGGTGGCGTCATCTATGACTGAATAGATTAGTTACCCAAAAAGCCTACTGATCACCATTGTTAAATAACTAAAATAAAATTACTTTATTTAAAATTTAAACATATATTTTTATAGTTCGCACGTTTGTAGTTTATTTGTTAATTAGTGTGTAATTTTTAAAAAATTAAATTTTCATTACTTTTTTAAAATAACCAGTTAACAAAATGTTACATTTTATGAAAAAAATTCCAATATTGCACTATAAACAACTCAAAGGTTAGATTTTCTGATTAGAGTTAATGTATCATATTTATAAACCGAAAGGATTAATGATAAGTTCTTTGAAATTAGTGTTAAGATTTATTAACATTGTTGAAAAGTTTGTAATAAATTTTTGACTTCCAGTGTATTACCACCATAAATTAGAAGTTGTAGAGTTTCAGAAGAATTCCTTTCAATAGTTTCGTAAGTAATTTTTGCACCATAGATGTTTATACTTTACTTATCTCATCTTTAAAAAAATTGAATACACTGTGGTTTTTCATATTATTGAAGCGGTTGTAATCGCTGCGATTTTTTTATTATTTACAAAAAAACCCGCTTTAAGGTTATTAGCGGAACGATAAGAAATAATTTCACTTTGCTTATTAAATTAAAGTCTTTTAAAATCAAAAAAGTGTTTTTTGAATTTAAAATGTCTTCAAGATTGTTTAGTAAATCGTTTTTAATTCTGTGATGCACTTTTCCACTAGTACCTACATATTTTACCGTAAGGGATAAACTGCACTCATCACAAATTAGGCGTTCTTGTATTTTAAACAAATGTTTATGAGAAAGTTGGATCTTTCCAAATCGCAAACGAGAAATAAGTTTTTGCTTTCGTCTAGATACCTCGGGTGGTTGTGATTGTCCAATCTAATTCTTTATGTCCTGAAGGTTTGATGGTGAGAATTTCCATGTATTGTTCCAGTTCTTGAACAGGTGTTTTAAGTAGATTTCAAGATGATCTATAGGTACTTACAGATTGAGGAGAAGTAGATATTGTTTATAGAAACTGACTAAAATTTAAATAACGTGGAGCTGCTTACTTAATATTGAATTAAATCAATGTTAAAACTGATGAAGAAAAAGCATTAAGTTTCTGTGTATGCCATTATGGAAAGTACTTGGATTTGAATAGTTGTTAGATAAAACAATAGAATTATCGCAGATAAGTACGCCAATGGTTTAAATATTGATTTCTTGCGGGTAATAGTTTTTGAGATTATTTATCACATTGATAAAAAACACAAATGTATACGACGTAAATAAATATATTATATATAGTGCTGCATCCACATTTGATTCAAACAAGGTGTAATATACTGGGGCTCCGCTGTCATCACTGTACAACTAGCGGGAGTTATATCCCCTATTGTAACATCTGGAACTAGAGGGTGAGAAAATCTTCACCACTGTACAACACTGTAATATACTGGTAATGAACCTTAAAGGATGCTTATCCCTGAGAGCGGCTGCAAGGAATACTGGTCCCACTAGTCTGGAGGGCTGGCTCGCCTTCGTGGATTTACGAGAAGGTAAGGAACTTCGGAATAGGGGTTAAGGACTTCTAGGTCTTAGGTCCTGTTAAGAGTTTGAGTCTATGGGCTTACTGTAGAAGCCAGATAAATGTATAAGCCGAAATTTGGTACTCTTCTGGTCTCTGTCTGAATCGGTCGGAAGGAACATAAAATCAATTTTAGAGTCTACAAAAGTATTGAATATACTATGTGGTTTACAATTAAGTTAACAAACTGTCAGATATAAGTAATAATAACTCGTTCGGCGCGAAGGGAGACGAGAAGAGATCTTAGCAAGAAAGTAAAGGGGTGACAATCTGTACTACTATAATTTACTCGGGTTAGTATATAGAATTTTGTTACCTTTCGCGTAGTGTTAATAACTCTTTAGATGATCGCATGTGTTTGGTATATTCGAAAAATATGTAGTTTAAGTCTCTCACTGAAATATTGCTACACTCACAAAAGGGGCTTTGAATTACTTCTATTTTAAATAGATGGTTTCTTTAAATGCCAGACTCTATCTCAAAAGCTTTGCTTATCTCCAACAAGGCTACTCCTGTGTATTGTTTATGATTGGAATCTGCTGACGATGACACTCTCCAGAAAGTAGTTTTTTTTTCCTGGCTTTGGAATCTTGATGACATAGGCTTCCTTACATCGATTTGGGAAAAGCTTATATCTTAATATCGCGTTTGTTATTTTTGTTAGAAATATTATGGTTTTCGCCGGTAAATATTTCAGTGCTCTGTTTGTCTTCTATCCTGGACCAGGTGCTTTTCTTGGGGAATTGTTCTTTGTTAATTCATTTATTTCCTCCAGAGATATTGGAGTAATGATTTTGTTTGGTTCTTTGGGTCTTTCTTGTTGTCTTCTTCTACTGACTGTTGAAACTTCTTCTATGAAGTCTTTGTCTTTATCTGGGTGATAGTTTAGTGTGTATTTGAGAAAGAGAGAGAGAGAGAGGGGGGAGAGAGAGAGAGTCATACTAATCAACTCGGCTTTTTCCTCAATGAAGTAGGCAATTTTATTCGCTTCAAAGTCTTTCTTTTTAATATATACATTTGTTGTGATATTTAAGTTTGCGCAATGTATGGATCCTGGTATGTATGGTATTTTTAATACTAAATTATAAGACATCGTACATCTGTACTCAGAATCATTACATGTATAATAATATTGATTCAACCTATTCATGTCTCTACTAACCTTATTTTTAACAAGTTTTTAATAGATTCGCATTAAGGTCTATTTTCCGATATTCTCGTACTATTGCATCTTATGGATCTTGTTTTTATTTTTTTGTAGACAGTAAGTTGACAGAATGGAAATTCCAGCACCAGAAACTTTGAAGACACCGTTAGTAGTACCCAATAAACTACTGATGGGAGCGGGACCTGCAAATTTGTCTCCCAGAGTTCTGCATGCAATGAGTCATGGTGTTTTAGGTCACATGAATGCAGAAACGTTTCAAGTAAGAATAGACATTTATTAATATTTGTTTAACGAATTTATTTTTGATACAATCAACATTTTTAAAATGACAATATATAAGTTTATTATTGTTTGTTCTCAGATATTTTTTTCTGCAGGAATTTAATTTAAGAATATTTTTTACGAATCTCTCAAGTTTTAAACCAACGAAACTGATCGATTGATTCTTCCATATACCAATATCTAAAAGTAAATGGCTAGTGATAGTACTCAATTTCAGAATACAGAGCTGATATTCATGAAAACTAGATTACTTTTACGATGATTATTTATATTTTTTTCACTTGTGCCACTATTCAATTGGGGAAAGACTGGTTTTAATTAAATAACCAATAATTTCAATAAATTCTGCATTTTTTTTGTTGCATTTCGAGGTTAAAAAATTTCCTTGCAATGAAAATGTTGTTGCAAAACATAGATGTAATCTCGAGAAGTGGAAGGAAAACATTTAAATTGTATGGCCTTCTCTAATTAGAACTTTTTTCTTGATCATCTAGTACTAGTTTCGAATAGAAATCATACAAATGACAATAATAAACAATCCAAAAGTCTGAGTATTTTTTTAACTTATTAAATTAGTGTTATATGGAGTTTGAAGCAAAAATTTTAGTTCGCAAACCCATTTGAAATAAAAAAAATATATAGTAAAAATATGTTTCTTTGTATTATTTTCCGATCTTTAACTTAAATTTCAGATTATGGACGAAATAAAAGAAGGTATTAAATACGTTTTTCAAACTAAAAATGAGCTATCTTTGGTAATCAGTGCTAGCGGACACACTGGTATGGAAGCTGTTTTGTGTAATCTTTTGGAGCCTGGAGATAGAGTTTTAATTGCTGTTAATGGACTTTGGGGTTTAAGAGCAGCAGACATGGCTGAAAGATATGGTAAGCATAAATCCAAAACTATAGTTTGAACATTAACCATTGATCTATATGATTACCTGTATGTAATGTTTCTTACTGGAATTTGATAGATGGTTATTGATGGAAATTCATTTTATGTAACAATTAAAAACTGAAAACTTTTGTTTTCATAACTTCTACAAAATTTATTAAAAGTTTTTTGTCACTACAGTTGTTCCGGCAAAGTGCCTTTCTCTGCCGAAATAATAAATAAAATACGCTGCATAAAAAAGGGTGATGAAAATGTTTGTCTGATGACTGTTTTGTAAATTCTGCCTTTCGTTTCTTTCCCGATATTTGTATTTCCCCATATTGTTTCATTTAGGCAACCTGCGGCTCTGTTTGCTCTATTCACTTGATCTTCCACTTCGGTTTCGAGATTTCCGTAGCTAGATAAAGTAATGCCTAGATATTTAAACTCCATCACTTTTTCTATTATCTGACCTTACAGCTCTAATTAGATCTTAGTAAATTTACTGTTGTAACCATGCATTTTGTCTTTTTTGGGAAAATTAACATGTTAAATTATCTGGCTGTTATATTAAATTGATGCAGCATCATCATCATCATCATCATCATCATCATCATCATCATCATCTCATCATCATCATCTCATCATCACTGGCTTGACAACTCTTTTTGGGTCTTGGCCTGTTCCAGGATTCTTCTCCATTCTGATCTGTTTCGTGCTTTTTACCTGCAGTTTTTTATTTTTAAGGTTGTTATATCATTTTCTATTTGTTCTTGGTGCTCTAGTTGTTTTTGGTGCAGCATACGTTTGTTGGTTGCTGGTCTTTGCTGTTGGTGGCTGTCTTTGCTGGTTTGTTGTATTCTAATGATTTCTCTTGCACTTGCCTCATTATAAATAAAGCGTTGGTGCATGATCTTCCCGATCTATAACCTTATTGTTCTTCTGCTAGTGTTATAACTTCTTTCAATTTATTTGTTATCACTTTGGTTGTTAATTTTAGTGTTGTGTTTAATAAATTAATTCCTCTGTAATTTTCCGGGTCCGATTTGTCTCCCTTCTTGAAGAGAGGTATTAGGATGCTTGATCTCCATTCTTGAGGAATTCTGTTTTGTTCTATTATTTTTTGAATTAGTTTTAATAGTTGTTTAGTCAGATCTGGTCCTCCGTACTTTAGGAATTCGTTCGGTATTCTGTCCTCTCCTGGTTATTTTCTATTTTTTAATTTCCTTAATGCTTCCTTTACCTCTTCCTCCTCAATATTTATTTCTTCGTTTGTCGTCACCTCTGGTGTTGGTGGTTCATCATCGTCACCTTTAGCAAACAGTTATCGAAAGTAGTCTACCAATGTTTCCTTCTAAATGTGTTTCGTTTTTATTAGTTCGTTATCCATAATCCATAATCGCTCCATAATCTATTTCTTTTTGTGTTCCGTAGAAACCGTGTTCCATCTGTTTTGAGAAACTCTGCCAGTGTTCCTTTTTTATTTGTCTAACTAATGTATTCGTTTCATTTCTGATTCGTTTATAGTGTGTTAACGTGCCTCCTCTTTTATATTGGTGCTATGATGTATCGTTTATGTGACATGATTACATGGTGTAAACACCAATTAACACCACATTTATGTAAAAATGTTTAAATCGGTATAACCTATCATCTAAGTATAATTGGTTGCCTACCTTGGTATGTAATTTACCTTGTGTAAACGTAAAATTTAATCTGTCGTCTAATGTCGTTTTCGCTCTTTAGTTAGGTTATGTTATGTTATGTTATTTGAAAAACCGAAAAACCACGTTGTTTGTGTGTTAGCGTTCTATTTTTTTTTATTTTTTTTATTTTAATTAGATGTTTAGTGTTTAGGTGCATTTTTTTATAATAATAATTAGACATAAATAATGACTTCAATTAAGAAGAAAACAACCAGGAAACAACTAGAGTTTATGTTAAACTTCTTAAAAAGTAACAAGATAGTATTGACTGGCAAAACAAAACCAACAAATGCAAAAAAAGTTGTTCGTTTGTGGCAGGAATTTGCTATGGCCGTTAATACCATTGATGATGGCCCTAATAAAACAGGGGAACAATGGAGACATGTAAGAAAACTGTAATTTCTCTTTAAACATTTACTAAATGTTTTATTTTTAGGTGTTCAATGAATGGAAGATGAATGTAAAAAGGAAGAGTAGAAAAATTGCTGCTCAAATTGGTGCCACTAGGGAATTGGGGGAATGGGCAAATACCCAAATGCCCTTTACCAAATTAACCAAAATTGAGGAGCAACTTCTGCAACTAATTTCTTTAATTCATCTTGGAGATCCACAGATTATGGATACTTTTGATGTGCAAGGTATAAATTTCATTGATGGTAGATGATAATGGTTCATTATAAAATATTTTTCAGAAAGAAATGAAAATCAGCCTGGCTCATCATCTTCAATTGCTACACCAATTAGTAAGAGATTCTTTTATTAGAAAACTGAGTTACTTATCACTTTTTTTTAGATACAATTGATTTCCCAATACAAGAGTCATCTGTATCAACTGATACCCAAAGTGGTAAGAGATTCTTTTATTAGAAAGCTGAGTTACTTTAATACTTTTTTTAGGTACAAATAATTTTCCAATACAAGGGTCATCTGTATCAACTGATACCCCAATTGGTAAGAGATTTTTTTATTAGAAAGCTCAGTTACTTTACATATTTTTTTTTAGATTGCAATTTCCCGCTACAACTAAACTTAGAAACAATGGAAGCAATCAAGCAGAGTGTGCAAGAAATGGCAAAAGGCAAAAAAGGCGAAGTAAAATTAGAATATTTAAATCATTTGATGGGTTTGATGACTTTTGGAACAATTTGTAGCTTTATCAATATCAGTGACATCACACCTCTGGCACATTGTCCTATCAGCCCTCTGGCTTATCGTCCCATGTCAAAAATCTTTTTGAGACTGTTGCATTTTAGGTTTGTTTTAGATTTGATTTAATTTTTTTATAACTAAGTTTTGAAATTATATTTAAATAAAATTTTCCTGTTCAATCAACATATTAAACAAAAACCGTAGAGGTTTAGCCAAGGGTTCTGCCATTCCCCATAGATATAGGGTGGTATTTCATCAGGGCCTGTAGATTTTCTGGTTTTAAGTTTTTTAATACTATTTACATCTAATTCTGTGATATATTTAAAGATAAAAGAACCCCACTCAGTACTTTGAGAATTACAATGTGTGCAGTCAGATGTATCATACACTGATGCAAAATATTTAGCAGCAAGGGCACTCACAATATCAAAAGGTGTATTAAACTTGGAGTTGTTTAATGTCATTTCTATGGGAATTCCACTATTCTTATATTTTGACTTAAAGAAAGTCCAGAATTTGTTTGGGTCAGCAAGTGGATGGTTTTCAAGTGAATGTTTGTATAAGTTATGCTCATATTTGGTTTGGTTTTTAATATCAGTTCTTAAAAACTGAAATTTGGGCTCCCTGAGGCTTTATTTAAACACAAATGCTGCAGACTATTTTCTTTTTAATTTCATGGATCAGATCTTGAGAGAACCAGTTAGGAAACCTGGAAGTAGAGTTGCTGGCCTTTTTTTGGCTTTAGCAATAGAACGATTTAAAAAGGTGTACATTTGACTATAAACAACATTAAAAGCTTTTTTAATATCTTTATATAAGAATAATTAAATGATAAAGATGCCAGTAGTTACCTTGAGCATAGTTGTATGTATATACCTTTTTGTTGCCTGGTAAATTAGCTATTTCACTTATTCTGATACTGAAGATGAGAGCAGGGCGACACGGATCTTCAGCCACTAATGGATAGTCAGAGCAAAATCTAAAAATCTATTCATACTATTAGGAATATTATTTAATTAAGGCTATCCAGCTCATCGACAATACGAACTTAGAGAGAAGGTTCAAAAGAACAAAACCTTTTCAACTGGTATAGTGAGTGAGTGAAAAGCAGAGCAAAGTGTTGTGTGAGTATGCAAGCTAAATTTAATGCTAGTTATTAGAAATAATAGGAAAGATACTAGTGAGTAGACACCTAATTTTAAGTTTTCATTAGTAATTTAAGTTAGAAACAAATTGATAATTGGTCTTACTGACCAGATTTTAATGTAAGTACACTTCAGTGTCATTAGTGAAAAAAAAATTATTTGTTGCAAGTTATTAATATTAAGAAACTGCTGTTATCACTAAAATGGGGTAAATTGAAATCTCCTAGTAACATCACTTTTGAGTTTTTTGATAATGAAATATTCTCAAACAAATTAAAATAATTTTCATACAACATCAGCTTTAGGTATAAAATACACAACGGAAACATAAAGGTAAATTTTGTAATACATAAGGTAAACGTAAAGTTTTTTAAATTTACCTTAAGTATTACAAAATCACTATCACAGGTAACATTAATAAGTTTATAAGGTAGTTCATTTTTGATTTCTATAAGTACTCCTCGACCTCATAGCCTATGGTCTGACCTATCTTTCCTAAACACTGTGTACCTATTGTCGAAAAGTTCTGAAGTTTCTTTGGTGTATTAATTAAAATATTACTTACTATTTGTGTTGATTGAGAGGGTCCGTTTATTTTTCTTGTGTAGTGTTTGATTTAACAAAAAGCCTTGAAATTAGTATTTCCACCACCAGAGAAAAAACCCAGTACCTTCTGCTTGATTACATATACAGGCAAAATAACAACAAAAATTGCCAAACACATAAAAAAGAAAGGAATAACACCAGCTTTCCGAACAAATAACAATCTAGGCAAATATATTAAAAATAACAAGAGCCAAAATAAAAAACACTTAAATAGTGGTGTGTACAAACTTCAATGTGGCGACTGCTCAAAAACTTACATCGGTCAAACTGGTAGAAACTTTGATAAACGAATAGCAGAACATAAAAGGGCTTTCAAGAATAGAAAAACAGATTCGACATACGCACTTCACCTTCTAGATCATAATCATTCTTTTAATGACAAATATAAAATTCTTCACATTCAAAATAAAGGCCTTAAGCTATCTTTGTTAGAATCTATGGAAATCAACAAATTAAAAAACACAAATATAATTCTGAATGATCAACTTGAGACAAACAGTTCTCCCCTCCTCAACCTATTTCATTAGAGACTATAAATTTGTAAACCCAAGCCAAAATAGATCACTTGAGAAAGGCAATCAGCCGAAACAGCTGTAGTGATAATATTTAAAATAAATTTTGTGGAAGTTTGAAAACAAAGTTTTCAGTGTTTTATTGTTACATAAAATGAATTTCCATCAAGTAACGGTCGAATCCATCAATTATACAAAAGAATATTTTATTTCAGGTGCTGTACCAATTAAAATGTCTACCGTAGCAGGTGACAATTTCAGTTTCACTGAAATTGAACAAAATTTAAAGAAACATCGTCCTAAATTACTGTTCATAGTCCAGGGAGAAACTTCTACTGGAGTACACCAGCCAATAGAAGGACTTGGTGATCTTTGCCACAAGTAAGAAAATCGCTTTTGTGTTTTTTACAAATTGAAATGCTTGTTTCTGTTAGATACAACTGTCTTCTTGGTGTGGATACAGTAGCTGCAGTTGGAGGAGTACCATTTTTCATGGATAAATGGGGTGTAGATGCGGTTTACGCTGGCGTGCAGAAGGCTATAGGAGCTCCACCAGGCTTAACGATTGTTTCGTTTAGTCCTAAAGCACAGTAAGTTTATATTCCTTTAAATATGTTTATACTACAAGACGAAATTGAAGCTAATTACAACAAGTAGAAATCACATTATTTTGTCTGATGTTAACTAGTAATACTAATATTTTGAGCAATTAAAGATCTGCAAAGAGAGATCTATCTAATCTATCTATCTAATTAGCCTTCTTCGGTCCATCTTTGGACATAGGCCTCCCCAATCCTTTTCCATTCTTCTCTGTCTGTCGCTACAGTCATCTATCTAGAGCCCACGTGCTTCTTGATATCATCTGCCCATCTCATTTGGGGCCTTCCTCTGCTTCGTTTATATTCCCACGGTCTCCAACTTTATCCGGAGCTCTAAGAAGTAAGATCAAAAAAAAATTCGCAATGAAACGTTGTCTACTAGAAGAATTCCTGAGAAATAATTACAAAATGAGGAAACGTGTAACTTTCTCGCCAACAAATTACAGTGGTAGAAATTAAAAACCTGCTTTAATGGAAATCAAAATAGCAGAGATCTGTAATGACTACCCAGATAAAATAGTGGCCGAGAATAAAATAGGGCATATAAACGACGCTCTAATAAAATTTAATAAATTAGCTCAATTTATGCTTTATGCTTGGAGAGCATGACTTGGAAGAAAATGCAAGATGTAGTGTTTCTGCCAAAGAAATGAAAAAGTATAGAAAATGTCTTCATAGTTATAAACAATGTTGAGAAAGTATATAGTAAAGTAGTCGTTAAGGTATACTGCGGATAAGAAGTTCTTCTGCTTATTATGCCGTCTTCTAACGAAGGTTAGCGATCACTTCTTTAGACGCTTATCTATATTTTGCAACGTGAACTAACTGGTCAACAGTGAGGTTTGAGAATTTTGTTCCATCGGTCTTCTTTTTGTCTTATATTGTGTCCGGCAAATCTCCATTTCAATTTTGCAACTTCCCACACTTTTGTTTTTTCTCTTATCCACTCGTTTCTCTTCTTATCCATTAGTCTTATGTGCAACATTTGTCTTTCCATTGCTCTTTGGGTTTTTACGATTTTGTCCATGTTTACTTTTGTAGATGTCCACGTTTGGGAACCATAAGTAAGAACAGGGAGTACGCATTGATTATATACTTTGGTCTTAAGATGCTGTGGATATCTTTTGTTTTTAAGAATGTAGCTTAGTTTGCCAAATGCCGCCCATGTCAGTCTAACTCGTCTCTTGATCTCTGCTGTTTGGTTCTGTTTGTTAAGTTTTATAGTCTGACCAAGATATATATAATCCTTAACTTGTTCTTTTTCATCTTGTCCGATTCTCATTGTGATGTCTTCATCTGTATTTGTTATAGTTTTGGTCTTGCTGTAATTCATATTAAGGCCTATCGTTCCAGCTTCTACGTCCAGTTCTTTCATCATTTCAAATAATTCTTCTTTTTTATCGGTTATCAATACGATGTCATCAGCGTACCTTAGATAGTTCAAGCGTTGTCCACAAATTGTTATACCTTTTTTTTTTTGAGAGGTGTAATGGAATGTTATTTATAGTACATATTTCTAAGATATGATACTTTGACTTTAACTGTATGTTAAGGAATCGACCTGCTACTTTTGTTAGTCAGTAATTTTGTATCCATTCTTAACTTGCAAAATAAAGCAATACATCATTACAACTACATACACCACAGTTTCAATAAGGCATTACACAACAAGGAATTATTTTAATTTTATTTCAAATAAGTGTTGTAGACATCTTTTTTACCTCGCAAGAGTACTTATTGAAACTAATGATATACTTCCTTACCTCCAAAATTACTGCAAACAAACAATTACAATAATAATTTAAACTATAAAATTACTACTTACGTATATAATTTTCACTCTGCATCTAACTGACTCTTCGATTCTCTTATGGTCTCTTATATTTTTCCAAAGATGATGTTGATGATTATATTAAAGAGAAGTGGGCTTAACAAGTCACCCTGTCTGACTCCGCTTTGTACTGGTATACACTGTGTTAGTTTTTCATTCCTCTTTGCCTGTTTTCGATTATGGAAGTAGATGTTTTCGATGATTTGTATAATATTGATTGGTAGGTTTCTTTTATACAGTAGGTGTAAGACGTCTTCGACTTCGATGCGGTCGAAAGCCTTTGTCAGATCTATAAAACATAGATATGCTGGTTTATTTTACTCGATGGTCTTTTCTGTGATTTGTCTTAGTACAAATACGGCGTCTATGCAGGATCTTCCTGATCTAAATCCTTGTTCATCTGATAAAGTTGTTAGTTTATTGATTTTGTTGGTTATGACTTTTATGGTAAGCTTGCGGTAAGTGCGATGTTCAGTAGATTTATACCTCTATAATTGTTGGGGTCTTCTTTATCTGCATTCTTGAACATTCTCCATCATCTACTAACATGTATCATTATGCTGTTTTCCCATGCGTCTGATATCTTGTTGTGCAATATTAGATTTTGTATAAGTTTTGTCATATCTACGGTTATACTTTCCCTTCCGTGTTTTAGAAGCTCGTTGGTTATTTAGTCTGGTGTTGATGACTTTCTATTTTTGAGTGAATTTATGGCTATCTCTACTTCCTGAAAACTTATTTCTATTTCGTGTCTTATTTCAGGTACATTATTGTGTTGATTATTATTTTCCTTTTCTTTAAACCTAATACCATTTCAGGTATCTTTCTCATTCGTTTGCTAGTATGTTACTCTCTACTGTATGTCTCTCGTTTCTCTTTACATTACTCTTTTATTTTTTTTCTGAACCATGGTGTATTGTTGTTGTTTCTTTTGTTCAGTATGACTTTGCGTTGTCCTAAAGCTGCTTCTGCTTCAATGTTGTTTTTAATTTTCTCCCAGATCGTGTTTATATCTTCGATGTCGTCTATTTTTTTCAGCTGTATCTTCTGTGCTAGCCTCCTTTGGTACATTTCTCTTGTAGAGTCGTTCTACAGTGATTCTACATTGAATTTTTCCTCGGTGATGCCTTGTTGCTATATGCTTTAGTAGAACCAACTACAGTAGAAGGAATGACTGCAAACAATAGCACAATTTCAACTATAAAATTATAACTTCCATTTAAAGTTTTCCCTTTACATTTAACTGCCTCTGATTCAATATATTGGCTAAATCTATTTAATGTAGGATCAAATACTCCAGGTTGAATGATTGTAGGCAATACCACAACAATTAAACCTTTAAAGGTATCACTTGAATGTTCCTTTATGATTTCCAGTAAACTAGGCATCTGCACGTGTTCTTTTCATTATTTCTGGCATATTTTCCATTTAACAACTCATTGGAGAAACTTTTCCATTCGGAGATTACAAATGATCTGCCTTACTTCATGCTAGAAAGACGTAATTTCTTTATTCTGGAACTTTTCTTGAACATCTTGGATTTTCTTCCTTTGCATTGAGTTTTTTTGCTTTGTATTTTCTTTTTAGCGGTCTGCATCTTTTCTCGCTTCGTTTTTTATTTAGTCCTGTTTGTTAGCTTCATTATGATTAGATAGCATTGCCTGTCTTGCTTTGGATTTTGGTTCTGCTAGATCTTTATATTCTTCATTGAACCACTCCTTGGATCTTTAGTTTTGTTCGCAGACTTTTGTAGCAGAGAACTTAATACTAACATTTATTATTTTTGCTGATATTCTATATCAATTTGTTTACTTTCTAAATGATCAAAATGTTTTTTAGAAAAGTTATATTTGGGAGAAACACTCCAATCAAAGTATATTACTGGGATATGAAAGTTCTTGGCCAACAGTGGAACTGCTACAATAATGTTCGACCGTAGGTATTTTTATTTTAGTGTTGTTATTTTGTAACATAGAAATTTATACTTTTAAGGTACCACCATACAACTAGTTCCAGTCTTTTATGTAGTCTAAGAGAAAGTTTATCTATAATAGCCGAAGAAGGATTGACAGAGTGGCAGAGGAAACATGATGAATGCTACCAAAGACTGAGGAAGGGAATTGAAAATCTAGGATTAGAATTCTTTGTTAAAGATGAAAATAAACGGTTGAAAACGGTTACATCTATTGTTGTCACAGATTTTGATTGGAAAAAACTAGTGAATTATGCCATGAACAAGTAAGTATTTGGTTGTATAATGCTTATGTATTACGAGAAAGGACATACACTTCATCTAATTAATATAACGATCCATGTCATCGGCGTCATAGCCTGTGGCGTCACATAATACCAACACAAAATATTTAGGGTGTAGGTGTGTTCTTTTTTAGAACCACTTTACCGAGTACACTGACATTACAGCCACTAGACATATTTTATTATATACGCGTAGAAATCATATTTAAAAATTTCTATTAATGTTAACTTGAAGAATTATACACAATAATATGTTTCATTTAATTTGTATAAATGCATTATAAAGCGTTTTTATCAAGAACATTTGTTCGGAATACACTGTAACTGTAATCGAACGAAGGTAAAATTTTGGCATAAATTGGTAACACTTATTTGACAGTTGCGGTGTTGACACTTTTGTACTTCATTATTTTGAATTTTAAAGTGAATATCTCTTGTTTTATATTTTTAACTATCTAATAAAATCTGTTCTTTTTAGAACAAAATTAGTGTGTTTTATTTCAAAAATGTCACGTAAGAATTTAAATAGTCGTTGTAAAGAGATGGTAATACTTTTGCAATAATTATGTGATCTATTTGATTTAAAATGGATTTTTTTATACTTTGGCAACTATGTCAACTTCGATCTCTGACGTAGATAATGACGTAAGTCGTTATCTAAATTAGATGAAGTATACACTTAAAAGTTTCAAGAAAATATAATGTTTTATTTTTAGATATAATGTTGAGATAGCAGGTGGACTAGGACCGACTGCTGGAAAAATTCTTAGAATTGGAATTATGGGATATAACGCCAATCCTCAAACCATTGATTTTTTTCTCAAAGTTTTGAAGGAATCTCTTGAACATGCTAGAAGAAATGATTCAAAATTGTAAATAAAATTTATAGATAAATATTGTACATTATTTACATAAAATAAAAATACGATCATAATAATTATTGTTTATTTTCCTTTCATTATTTCGTTTATTCTTGACGAAACGGTCATTAATATTTAAAAAGGCTGTAAGCAATCAAATTTACTACTTACATGAGTAGATAGACGAAAAAAAGTGAAATTATTCAATAGATAGCAGATTTAATTGTCTCGAAGATATTCAGAAATATTGGAAAAATTTCCATATATAATTAAATTATAAATCCAAAAGTTCAATGAAAATTAAAATTCAACATTACTGATAGCAAACAATATGTAGTTTGCTATAAGTAATGTTTGTTGCCTAAGCCAAATACGTATACAGTTGTATGAAATGTCAAAAGCCAATTTATTTCATGTCATTTGTCATTACATAATAATATAACCCAACTTTTAATCTAGGAGAAACGTTCAAATTATAATTTTATCCTGTTTATAAAATGGGTCAATCATTCGGTCACACAATAAATAACGGCTTTGATTTATATTTTCACCCAGAAATTACACCTAGTCCCCTCGAAGATCCAACATTTGACCCATTAGAAGGATTCCAAAATGGTCGAAAAAAGAGAGGTATTTTATAACATATTTAATAAACTGTACAGAAAAGTGACGCAATTCATCATAAATGTAATTAGAATTATTATTTTTGAGCTGTACAAATATTTTATAAAACTTAATTCTTAATTTTGACTTAGTTTTTGACATTAATGTCAGCTCATACTCTACATTTAATTTAGTATAAAAAGATGCACTTTATTTAAGTAGAGCTTCTATTGATTAAAAAAAAGTCCATTTAATTGCTTTTATTTTTATTATTAAAATATAAGACTATAATAGAATCTCATTTTAGTTATGATTGCCACAGAAGATGAAATGAGATCTGCCAAATTGCCTTTGGAAGATCGAGATTACTGTGCACATTTGTTACTCAAATTTCGAGCATGTAGAAAAGAAAATTGGCCTTTTGTGGTCAATTGCCATCATGAGAAACATGAATTTTTAGACTGTAAATATGAAGAGTAAGTATTAATTATGATTTTCATCTGCAAAAGCTGATAAATTAAATTGTAAAGATTACTATAATATTGCTTATTATGTTAATTATCTATGACCTCATTGACATCTCTTGCATTAATGTTTAAATGAATTATACAAAGGGTTTTTGTTACATTAAAAATCAGGTTTCTTAGGTAAATTCTTAATTTCTCCAGAAAATCTGTACCACATTTTCAATTGATCAGTAAAAATTATTGTTTATTTTCTTTTTCTGATTTCGTTTATCAAATATAAATAGTAGTATAAGACTTCAACTAAACTTCTATAAGTAGTACTACTAGAAGAACTTCTATAAGTAGTAATATAGTAATATAAGACTTCCACTCAAATTCTATAAGAAGATGAGCAACAAATTCTCATTAGGTCTCTTAAACTTATTATGATAACTGAAGGGTAATAGTTATTTTATATATTCTGTATATACTTGACCTTAAAACATGATAACTTAATACAAAATAAAAAAAATTGTTGCTAAGGAATTATGTAAAAAAAGACAGCTTCTTTCATCCCCATTGCTTTCCTGAATCCAAACTGTGTTTTTGCTAATATCCTGTTTAATTGTTTTATATATACAATGCATGACTTTAAGGAATATTTTGAATGTATGACTCATTAAACAAATTGGTTCTATCATTGTAACTTAATTCCTGTGCTGTATATTGTGTTCTATTAGTCGACCAGTATTGCAATTTGGTTCTCTTATATTAATTTTAATATCTCTACTTGTGTTTGATCAGATAATGTTTTGTTATGTCTAAATCATTGTCAATTCAACTTTGTTTTAGTATTAGTTTGGCTTTTCATGGCTGAAAAGTTTTAGTGTACTTTTGTCATCTTTTAAATCTGTTTTAATTTGAAGTTTTATAAAATATTTGACAAGAGAACTTTAGATAAGTACTGTATTTTTCCACTAGCTACTTTATAATAAAATTGTGTGTGTTGTTGATGTTCCTTACATAAATCCAAACATATTTTCAAATTTTCTTTGAAAATGCAACTTTTTATTTGAAAGACACTATTTTTGAGTGTTCAAGAATTGTTATTCCTTTTTTCTCTCATCTGTTCCGCTTACTGCATCTCTTTAGTCCTTTAGGTTTTCTTCTTCTTCCTGTGTATTAAGTTCTCAGTTAAAATATTTCCCCCATTGATTCAATACATATTTCCTTGTTGTTAATAGGTTGCTGTTCAGTCTTCTGCATGGGTTTGTAGTTACCTTAAATTCTTTTGTGCTACTCTTAACTTTCTCATAGAATGTTCTAAATTTTTTTGCTTTATTAAGGTTTTCTATATATGAAAGTTCCTTATTTAACTGGTTCTGTTTCTTTCTTTTGTGTATCTCCTTTTCTTTCCTTCTCTGGCAATTCTCGTAGTTTGTCAGGTAAGCATTTTTATAATAGCATTAATGACTTTGGACAAGAAACATAAGTGTTGGTAAACTTACCCACTAATAGTCATATCCTCTCTCTGTTATCCACTGGTAAAAGCTGCTATCCTCAAAAACTTATTTTGAACCCTTTTAAATATGTTCTGATAATTCCCAGTTGCACTATAGTTGAGGATATTGAGAGAAAACAGCTCATATGGTATGGACATGTGAGCCGAATGGGGGACGAAAGATTGCCTAAAAAAACGATGATGTGGCAACCCCCAGAGAAGAGGAAACGAGGAAGACCACCACAGAGCTGGAACCTGGGAGTTAGGAAAGCGATTAGCGCTCGAAATCTGGACGAAGACCTAACTCAAGACCGAATACAGTGGCGGTTGGGAGTCGGACAACGTCGTAAGACGTTATAAAACCGAATGTATATATAATTCCCAGTACTTTCATTGCACTGTTCGTGGATTAATGTGGCTTGAGAATGACAGTTTGGTGTCTAACCAGACATCAATGTTACATTATATTTGTTAGTTATTCAATTGTGTACTTTCTTTTTTAAAATCAATAGTCATATAATTATGTATAACATATTTTACTTGTTTTCAGTTTTGTTATCAGGATGAAAGAATATGAACGTGAACGAAGATTGAGAGTATTGCAACAAAAGCAATCAGCAGAAGAATAAAAATGTAATTTGTACATAAGTAGTAAATTTATTTGTCAATATGTCTTAATAAACCATTATTATAATAGTATTTTATTTTCTATGATAAAATTTCCTATGTTAAGGTTACGAAAATGGTTTTCCTTGACCATTTCAGGACTATTTCGAGCTGCAGTAAATAAAGTTAGAATTGCCATGCCATCAGAAATGGATCAGAAAAGGTTATACACAGTCTTTAATTTACTTATTCAATTAAATTTAAAATAATAACAACATTAAAAGCGCAATATTTATTTTTATTCACACCAAAATAACTTAAAACCTGTAAAAAATTGGTAAAAAAGCTACAAAATATTAAGTAATTCTTTTACACACTTCATTCGTTTATTATCTACATCAGTTTGGCTTGCAAATGAATGAAGTTGCAACGTAGAAATAAAGTTGGTATTTTCTTGAACTTTCGCTTTAATCATCGGTTTGTGTATACTTGACGATGTAATCAAAGTTCCCAAAGCCACATAAGCTCTAAAATGGGCTTCTGCTTCCGTTAGTTTCGTAATTAAATCTGGTATTACTTGAGCTAAGACTGTAATTCCTATTTCATCATTGTGTTTTAGTGTAAGTATAGTAAGATTTAATAAGGACGTTGCTAAGGCCACCTAAAACAAAATAAGGTTAGTTATTTAGTAGCTCCTGTAGTATTGACCAAAATAAAAACAGTCCTTAAAGGAAAACGATACTTACTTGACAGTTTTTGTTCAAATTGCTAAATGAGGTAAAATTCTCCAAAATATCAAAACGATTATTGTACACGAGACTCTCGCCAGCTTCATGCAAACATAAATTAGTAATAGTTCTAAGGGCAATAACCATATTGTTGACAATGGTACACTCGCAGCTAATGTACGTTTTGATTTTTTCAAATATAATACCATTATTCAGCGATGATATTACTTCATTGTTCTTTTTATGCCTTACAGCTAATCTGACAACGTCCAAAACAGGAAATACGATTGCTAAAAATGTTGAATAATCATATTAATACAAAATATAACTAGTAATAAATATGCATATTTATGTAATAGGCAATTAAAGTAAACTTTGATAAAATGAAAGACAGATAAAAAATATTTAATGTCACTATAGAAATTATACAAAATATCTACTCACAATCTGGCCATTCCAATAACTTAAATAAAATATCAACAGCATATCCGTCTGTAGGTGGGCTAGAACATAATTTGACCACTTGTTCCAGATCCCTTTCTTCAATTTTATCATTACAATCTCCAGATTTTTCGTTGAATTCTTTAAGTTTCTTTAAAATTACATTAGCGTCTCCCACATCGAAACTATGATAGGTCTTAACAGGAAAGAAGCCTGATCCTGATTCCGCATTTACCGTCGTATAGCTAGAGCTGCCGGTAAATGGGTCGCTGTTCTGACCGGCGGAGGCAGCAGGGGGTTGAGATCTAGTTCCGGATGTTGAATAACTGCTACCACCTGCAATACAACAATTGAACTTTCATCTCAGTAAGATGTTTCGCGTACAAAGAATTTTTTTTATCAATATAGATGACAAAGCTGTTTGAATATAATGGTTGAAGTAAAATATATGAGTTACATACATTGATTAACATACCAGTAAAGGGATCCAGATTCATTCCTGTTTGTCCTTGATTAGAGGCGCCGTAGCTTGGAGTATACCTTGAGCCTCCTGTAAACGGATCCTGATATTCCATACTAACTTGAGGTACATATTGCTCTTTGCTATTTTTCAGTATAAAATCTACTACCTAAAACAAACGTTAAATCCATAACACTAACATTGAATATACATCAGCTAAGTTTATATGAGGTGTAAAGTACTATAGTAGTTATATTTGCTTTAAACTTAACTAAAATCCTAAGTGTAAAGATCAAATTAAAAAAGTTAATTGCTCATAATCTGAATATTATGAATATTAATTCCCTTAAAAATAATTACCTGTTCTAAATATTCTGCTGGCAACATATTCTTAGCTAAAAATTTATGAGCTGCTTGATATGGATCATCTCCTTTATTGAACGGCAATTTTAATGGAGGTTTACCATCTTCAACATCCACAGAAAATACATAATCATAATGCTAAAATTTTAAAAACGTTATAAAAAACACAATGACACTTTTTTGCTGAAATCTTACCTGACCCTCATACATTGTTTTGCCACTGTCATTTTTGTCAGTGCCTCCAAGTACTTCCCCAACTTTATCCCAATGACTGTTTTCACCATCTTCTACCCACGTATAGGCTACCACACTGGTACCATCTCTGACCATTTTCATTTGTCCGTTTCTTTTTCCAGGATCGTAAAGAGCTTCTTTGCCAGGTAAGCTACATAAGATGATTTTATTATTCAATAATGAGCACCAATGTTAAAACGAAATGTGTTAGATGACATGTCATATTCAGACCATAGCCACAAAGGTTTTGAGATAACAGGTAATGAGCTTATTAAGGAACCATCATAGACCTTGTAAAACAAACTAGGAACATTTTAGGCAGATCTATATTGTTTAGGAATTCTAAAAAAGTTTAAACAAAGTGAAGGCAAATTGAATTATGTATCTCTTGAAAACATTGAAATCAGAAGTAGAAAACAAAATATCATGACATGTTTTATTGTGGGCTTATGCTCTAGGCCTTAACGGTCTGTTGTGTGTAAAATAAAATAAATGTTGTATTGCGGATATTAGAGCAGATGAACATCAAATATATTAAAAGAAACAGGTACAGTATTCTTATAAAAGAAAATGCGATTATCTTGTGGTGGAGACATCACTTACAAAAAATCCTAGAGTATCATCATGAAGGGCAACTAGTGTACTATTTAGATAAAACATGGCTGAAGCAAAGTCATATTGTCTCAAAGATGTGGAAAGATTTTGAAATTAAATGTCGTCAACAAGCCTTCATTGAAGGGTTTTCAACAGTTTTAAAAACACCAGTGGGTAAAGGACATTGGCTCATAGTAACACATATAGGTAGCAATTCAAGTTTTTTGGACAACAGCTTGTTACAATTTGAATCCAAGAAAATCAATGATTACCATGAGGAAATACACAGTCAAAAATTCAAAGGTTGGTTTTCAAAGACTGGGGTATATACCAAAAGCATGGAAGCTCATAAGGGTAGTTTTTATATCCAAACTTGGCAAAACCAGACATAAAAATGCTAAGATCCTGACCACTGTAAATTTGATATCATTTGCACTGAAAAGTCTACAAAAACTACTCGATAGGTACATTAGGTTGTATTGGTTGAAAAACAGGAGCAGGGATACATTTTTAGTTTACATACTAGTACTGCAAGCAGAAAAGTTCTATCTAACATACAGTATACTATAAATATATAGCCACATTGAACATATTCCTACAGAAATAGTAATTTCCTTTAGTTAATCATAAAGCTATGTCCATTATGCAATACTCACTCTGATACTTTAACTCCTCCTATCTCTTGAACAGCTTGTCGCTTCAGTGCATTCACCTCTTCTGTAAATTTAGTTAAATTAACTTCATCTGCTACTCTTGAATCATCTTTGGTAAATATTCTAACTATTCCATCACTACATTAATTGAAAAAAAAAAATGAAGATAAGCCAAAAAGGTAGCACCTAGTAAATTACAAATTTCCTAATTTAAAAAGCAAGACTTATAAATGGTTAGAGAAGCTCTAGAATGCAACAGCTTACCTTGAACCAGTTACAATATCTCCATTAGGTAGACAATCTACAGCCCACACGGATTGAGCTGGAAGTTCAATAAAGCCTTTATTCTCATTATTCTGCCAAAACCTAATACTTCTATCTTCATCTGAAGTAACAAAACTATCCAAACCATGAGGTCTGCATCTTGCTATACTAATACATAGTAAGAAAAATAGCTATTAGTGATTTTATTATACCAGATATAAATATCAGACTATAACAACGATTTTTTACGTAACTTTACCTGTATATAAAACTAGTATGCCCATAAAGTGTATTCATATTTTCTCCTTCATAGCTCCAGATCTTTATAGATGCATCATTCGACACACTTATAAAATACTTCATTTCTGGAAAATCTTCTAAACATCTAACAGCATCATTATGACCTAATAGTAAAACAACAGTGTTTATTGACAAAAAACATACAGTATAGGTAAAAGTTTATGGTCGGTATGGACCTTACGTAAGATGGAGTAAGAAACACCTGTTTAAAAAGAGAGAGGTATATTAGGTCCGCCCTTTATATCGCCGAAAATGCATGAGTGGAATTAATAAAAAAGGGGAAGTTCAACGTTGCCAAACTTATTGGTTTTATTTGACCTGTTGTCTTTTTAGTATTTGAACAATGTTCTAAGATAATCAAATTTGGGCGAAATGGATTTAAATGGCAGCTTACTGCCTTTTATTGGGAATATGCCACAATTTTACTTTACAATAAGTGTAATATAACATTTTGATTTCTACTTTGGAAATCGTTTTATATAAATAAGATTTATTATTAATATTTCGTATTTTAAGTACGATTAACAGTATTTACATGTATTTTTATTTACCAATAAATTTAACATATGAGCAAACCAATTTAAATGTTTTATTATACCTTATTATGACTTTACAAGTTTTGTTATTTGCTGTACCTTTCTGGGATTGGTGTAGTGAGAGAATGAACAGGGAACGAACCCAGGGCTGAACAGTCGGGCAGAGCACCATTCTGATGGATGGAACAGTGGGCGTTTTTCTTTTGAATATCCTTAGGGATATTCGAAGAATCTCTCCCCTCGTTTCTTCCAGCAGTATGGTGTTGCTTAACGCCCTGGTCTTAATAAGATTATGATGTTACAAAGAAAAGTAAAAAAAAACTTTACATTTACCTGATATTGATTGCAGTCTTTGACCATCTAATGACCATACTACTATAGTTTTATCAGCTGATGCAGTGACCACATTTCCATTACTAATTTGTTTGACATACCATACAGCTGCTAGATGCCCAGAAAATGTCTGTACTGGCTTTGAAGTAGATGTAGATAAAGACCAGTATTTAGCTGTGTTATCCCAAGAAGCACTGAAGAATGTATTGGGCTCAATACCTTTTGTAAGGGCACATACTAAAAGTATTCAAATATTATAAAAAATAATTAGTCCATTTAAATATGTTTTTAGAAGCATTTATATGTTTTAGGTGTGTTTAAAAGCACACATTATTAAGAGTGGTACATAAGTTTGTTTTGTAATTTAAACAATATATAATATTATATACAATAATTGTTAACAACAACATGGCATTATTTTACTTGTTCATAATCAGATTAATATTAGTGTACATACATCTCTTCATACACATTGTTCATATAAGAATGAAAAAGAAAAAAAACTATTTAAACAATCTTTTAGATCCAAAGTGCTATTCTTATTTAGTAATCCTTTCACTGATGTTTACCTGTGTTTGTGTGTTCTCCTTTTATGGCATAGGTATGAAATGGTTCTCCAGGTTTATGAATAAAGATAGCCTTGTCATAGCCACCTGTAATAACCAGGCCATCAGGATATTCACTGCTAGGCTCCAAATATAGTACACTTCCAACAAAATTTTCATGGCTCTTATAAGTCATAACATCTTGATAAACATTCTGAATCCTGAAAATAACCATTAATGTCAGTACGGTAGGTTACAAATTAAATGATTATTATTTACTGTTTCTAGAAATATTTTAAATGTAATTTAAGACAACATACGGGTTGTATCTCCAATATTTTGCTGTTCTATCTCTTGAGCCGCTAATAATGTCATTACTAGCGGTTACAGCTAATGCTCGAATGTCCATTGAATGGCCGAAAAGTGAGGCGCTTAGCTTAAATTCTTTAGACATTTCGAAAAACCAATATAACTCTTAGAATTGCTAAATTATATCTACATAAAAAATATTTTTTAAGATGATAAGTTGATTTTTTGGTTATTTGTTGCCTGTTGCTGTCAGTAGTGTCACTGTCAATTTAATTGTATGCAATGTTGCCAAGAGGACAAAAAATGTAACAGCTCTATTTCTTCACCAATTGCGCCAGCTAACTACAATTTTCTAATAGTTCTTCTATATTGTAAGATGAGTATTGTGGATTATAGTACGTATTCTTTAAATAACAATTTAATTAAATTCAACGTTTTACTCTTTTCATTGATCAATGATTAAATTTATATACCAAAACATAATGTCCTTTGGTCATCAATAGTAAAGGGTATCTTACACGCATATTAAATATTTCTCAAACAAATCTGTTTTGTGATTACCACCGCTAAAGGGTGTCTTACACATAGTTCTGAAGTGTATACTTCAAAAGTGTGTCTCACACGCATGTCAACCACAGTATATCTATACTGTGTGTCAACTATTTCTGAGGACAACATTATGTTTTGTGGTTACAACACTAAAGGGTATCTCACACGCATGTCAATTATTTCTCAGAACATATTTATGATGACCCATGCTAAAGGATATCTTACACGTAGTTCTAAAGAGCATCTTACACGTATTTGAAAATGGTGTCTTACACGTCTGTCAATTGTTTCTAAGACTATCTGTGCTCTATGATTACCAACACTAAAAACTATTTTACATGTCGTTTAAAAGTATCTTCTAAACTAAAGGATAAGTGGTCCTGTTTTAATAAAAGAGTTTGTAGTATACACTTTCGCATGGAAGATTATGACGATGCTTTAAAAGCTAAAATATATTAAACATACAACCTAAAAAGCTGAAAAAAGATGGTAAGTAGGTATAGTCATTTAAATGTTTAGTAAAAATGTGTTAATTTACTGATTTTGATTTTTATAATTTACTGTTAATTATGTACAACTTAAAAGGTATCTATTTAATGGAATCATGTTTTAATATTTTTTATATTATATTATATAATCTAGTAATGTAATGAGATTTTCCTTAAATATATTGAAGTTAAGGGAAAAAACTACTAATTCTGATATATAAATCTTTAGTTGAATCTCTTTTTCAGCATGGTTTACTTGTTTGGAGGAATTTATAACAATCCACTACATGCATTATTCGCAATTCAAAATAATTTAATAAAAGTAAATTGTATTTAACCCATTATTAATATTATTAATATAGTATATTAACATGTTTTAGTCACATGTATACGCAAGAAAGAATCTACTTCCAATTTAATATAGTAATGCTATTCTACTACATATGTTTAGCTGCAATAATATTTTATGATTTCTGTAACTTTGCAGGTACTTATCTCCCACATTTTTTGAAGATTGAATGAAATAAATAGTTATTAATTGAGTTCATTTCAAGGAGTAAAGTGAATGAATTTGAATGTAACATTCCCAGTGACGTCATTCCCGCCGTTAGATTCTCGACGCTGATTGGTGTAAAGTTACCAGACAACCTGTCTATTTTTAATAACCTTGAGCGGTGGTAACCACAGAACATAGATTTGTTTGAGAAATAATTAACATGCGTGTAAGATACCCTTTAATATTGATGACCAAAGGACATCATATTTGATTATAAATTGCTTCCTGTTTCAATTTTGATGTTGACGTTGACAGTAATGACATTATGGTCAAATATTTTGTTAAAAGCATTGAGCATCTAATTTATAAAAGTTAAAAGTTGATTTGAAGCAAAGTATTTTATTATATTATATATATTATGGTATAATTATAACAATAATGGCGACTTGGAACGGTTCTACAGAAACTGGAATTTTAAGAAAAACAAATCAAACAGAAAATTTCGATGATCTGCTTGTGTTTGGATATGCTTGTAAACTTTTCAGAGATGATGAAAAAGCCCTTTTCATTGATCAGGGCAAGCATTTAATACCATGGATGGGTGATGATACGCTGAAGATTGATAGGTAATTATGATCATCGGCAGTGTATAATGTTTTTCATAGAGGCGGTATTAAGGACACCATTTACAACAGTTGTTGAGATTGTATTGTGGTTGGGAAGCTAATTTGAGATATAATAGAAAGTAGTACAATATAGTATGCACATGTGAATGTGCAGTATTATCTGTTGTTTGTTATCTTCTGTAAACAACAGGTCATAGCAAATTACAGATAATGTTGACTACAGCTTTGTTTTATTGAATGTTTTTTATTGTTTTAATGAGACTATGGGATTTATCTTTCATATAGTAAGCGAATGGTGTAGTTAATTTGAATATTAATAAAAGTTTTATCCAGATCTATAAATTTCATGATTGCTGGCATATTCAAACCCGATATAAAAGACAAGGAAGGCTTTTGGGAAGATATTTATGTATTCACTTTTGCCTCAGTTTTTCCCTTTGAAGGGGTTGCTGTTTCTTGAATTACAGTCCATTAATGAAACATATAATCAAATAAAACACTGAGAATATTTAGTTCCCAAGTGACATTTAAGCAAAATTTAAGAATCATAATCATTAGTGCTTTATGGAGTTAATAATAGTTTTATTATATGCTTTTTTTAAGTTATTTTGTTTGGTGGCATGAGGCCATGTTTCATTGGATTATCAATATACCAAGCTATTTTCTTTTTTATAGGTATGATGGCCGTGGTACTTTATCTGACTTAAGGCAATATGAGGCTAGTAGAGAAGGATATGATGCTACTAGATGGTTGGGATTAAGTGAAAAAGAAAGAAATGTTGAAGAATTGTGTGATAAGGAAAGATACCATTCCCTTATTATTAATGAAGAAGAAGAACAAATGTATAAAGGTAAATTATCTATATGAGGAGTAATCATTAACTTACTTAAGTAACCTTTTTTTTATTTTAGAAGAGGAGTTGAAGAGACAGAAGACAAATATGTTCCAGTATAGTTATGATGTGCCTCAAAATCCAGATATTCAAGAAGGTATTCCTACAGTTCCTGAAGCAGAAGAAGAATATGTTCCTCCACCAATTCTAGATCTACCAGTAGATATTGAATGGGTAAAGTGTCAAATAAATCTGATTTAATATAAATAAGAGGTATGATGTATCTTATCACCTCCATATTAATGTCTAAATGGATTGGCGATTAAGCAACTACATCTTGATTACTTTAGAGACGAGGATTGGTGAATATATTAAGTTGTTAAAACAGGAAAACCTATACTTGATTATATTACTTATTTAAATGATTATGTGTTTACATCTTAAATTATAAATACCGACTATGAATGGATTACTCAATAACTGAACTAAACATTCTATCATTTATTAGTCCAAATAATGTTTATATAAAAGTGCTGAATCTACAAGACTTACGGCCGGTTTCCGAAACGTTATTCAAATCTCCAATCATGTAATCAAGTGTCAAATTTGATCAACTGTTAACAAGCGACAGGTTTCCGAAACGAAAATTATGGTAAAATTAGGTGATCACCGATTATAGATTATTTGACATACGATTTTGCATGGAAACTGTAGAATCGATTATAATCGTTTATTATTTCTGTACGAATTGTTCTTTATCTTGCTCTAAATTAAGAAAGTAATGTTGCTGTTTCACTCTACCGTCATTTCTGTTTATGTGTAATCTGCATTCTGAAAATCAGCAAACAAACATAACCTAACTATTAATTTTGTGTCGTTTTAATGTTTGCCAATTTGTCATTTATCAATCACCATCATATTTAATATTAAATATTAGTAAGTTGTTTACCTTTGTAACAATATTTTTGAGTTCTTTCTAAACAACAGCTTTTTATAAAACACCTTAGGTTTATGTATATACAACGTAACCAAAGATTTTATTTTATTTACTTACAACCATTGATACATAACCAAAGATTATAAGATTAATCGTCCAAAAATCTCAGATTACCTGACAAGCTAGTATGACAGTTGTTTGACATAGATAAAACGATAATTAGCGTTTCGGAAACCCAAAATACTTCTGACAGGCTGTTAATCATCGATTATTTGTTTGTTAGATTAGTTAATGTGTGTTATGTGATTGAAGTTTGATCGATGTTTCTGCAACTCAAAATGCATTTAATCGACTGTTAACAGTAGATTACCTAATTTTGATAATGATCAGCCTTTCGGAAAACGGGCTGTAAATTTAAGTGTAATGAAAGTATTATGAAACAAGACACACATGTTAACATTACCTGTACTTTCGTTTTTATTTGTCCTAAAGTTTTTCATTGAAAAAATGCATTTTATGCAGTTTTTTGTATAAATATTTAAAAAATTTGATCAAATATATAAACATTTTGCATAAGTTTAGTCCTAACATAAATTTTAAATAATTATTTGCATGTTTATATACCAGTTTTTATTTTTAGCCAAAAACAGTGAAGGAAAATGCAAGAATTGAGAAAACAGCATTGTTTGTTTGCAAACAAGGACCACAAATGGAAATCCTCCTAAAAGCAAAGCAGGCAGACAACCCACAGTTTTCCTTTTTAAATCAAGATGGAAAGCTGTATAAATTTTATAGACACATCCTCTCAGCTTTTAAAAATGGAAGGTACCAAGGATATGAAGCCCACACAAAAAGTAAAAACGGTGAGCACTTTAAATTTATCCTTTTGTATAATTTTTATGTTTCATACACTTAAGTACTTACTTTTAAATAAACCATACAATTTGATAAAAATAAAACCTGTATGTTTTATATCTATTAAATTATATAAATGCTCTTTTCCATTCCACTAAATGGAAAATGTCTGTCACAAAAACTAATTCTATGTAATGAAATGTTAATATTTTCAAGTTTTTTTGTATCAATACCAAGGTATTCTTGGCACGCCACAACACTAATTAACAATGGAAGATTTTAGTAAAAGAACCTCAAACACCTCAAAACACAGTCTCCTGGTATGTCCTTTTTCCAGAATTACCAATCTTGTTACAAGTTTGTTTTTGGCATTAATAACTGAATAAAAAATTATCCAAATACAGAGATGAGGCTCAGGTGTCTAGGAGAACATTGCTGGCATGATATTTATGTTCAGTGACCCCAAAAACCCTGAGAAGTAATATTGAACTCATTTCCATTTTCTAATTACAAATTTATTATTTTTCATCACTTCAAAATACACTTTAGAAAATGCATTTTCCTTGTTCAATAAGGCAATTTTCATCTCCACATCATCATTTTTGTTCAAAAAGTTTCCTGACACTCATACGAATTGACTGCAAAAAGTTTCATTTGATTAGTTAGGGCTTACAATTTTGAGACTGCAGTATATTATTGCTATGCAATATATGTTGGATTATGTGGATCAAATAGTAATGACAGCTTAAATGTTATTTTAGAGAGCATATCAGAAAACCAGGACCAAGACTCCAATTCACATTATTTGCATCCAAGTCTAGTATCATCTTCAACAGCTGAACCGGTAGGTGTAACCAGTGTTATACTTCTATATAACAAAGACATTTTTATTGTAGTAATAAAAACAAGTGAGTTTGTGTACATCAAAAGGGGTTTGAATAAATTTTTTTTATTAGAATTAAGTTGTCTTTTTTACTTGTTTGGATTTACTAATGATCTAGTTTTTCTGTTTGCAGGTGACTTGAGACATGAGTTTTCATTTTTTTCATTTACAGAGCATTAGGATAGTCTACAGGAGGATGAGTATTGTATACTTTCCATTGGAATCATTTTTGTTCTTTTAGGTTGACTAAAATAAAATTATATTTTCGGCTTCGGCTAAGTACAATTATTCATTCAGTTGTAATACAAGTTTGAAAAAAAAAACACCTTTTGTTACTAAAGCCCGTAATCATTCTCTTCTATGTTAAATTCTTGAGTTTTTAAAAGTGTTTTAATCAAGTTTTAATCAATATTTTCGTCATGTCAAATGGTATGTCAATATTAGTTAATACGTTCACTTTGTTCATTATGTAGTTTGAATGGATTTTTAAATTTTTTCATGAAATAAGAAAACAAATGTACATCGAGTATAGGAAACATCAATTATGACGAGGTAGGGCTAAACACACCATATTAACGATATTGGTTAACAAATCGTGGCGATGAAACAATGTCACCTGTAAGTCTGCCTGAATTATTTTAAGTTTCACTGATAGTATTTTCAGAGTTCAGTAAATTTAATTCACAGGATTCAGAAGTCCAGTTTTTCAATTCAAACTTTCTTATTATTTTTGGATTATTTTTCAAATGCCGTGAGGATGATATTGTGTTATATCCTTGACTGTTAATGACTGGTGTCTTATTAGTAGTGCAAGTAGAGCCAAAAATTTGCAGAAATGTTAGATGTTTGTGTTCCTCTTCTTGTGGTGCCCATCCGTTTCAGATATTGGTGATGATCATGGCAATCTGTATTTTGCAAACTGCTTTTATGAAAAGATTTCTAGTTTTTGTACATAGATTTTTCAGCAGGCAGAAATGTTAAATGTTTGTGTTAGTGTTGCATTATTTGATGAGCTAATCGTTGAAATTTTTCTCACATCAAGAACGGAACCTGAATTAGTGGACTATATTCTACTGTTGAATGAATGGTCAGCTTTCTCGTCATTCGTGCACCTCATTATAATTGGCGTTAGCAGTATGAATGTATATAAAATATCAGAAGATGTAAGCATAATTAAAAATAAAACATTGATTAGAAAGAAATTGAATGAATCGGTAAGTAATTTTAATATTTGTCATCTCATAAGAAGATATTTTAATACTTGCGTTACTAACTGAATGAATATATGACTTATAAGCCCGCTCTTAATAAAAATACAACAGAAAATCATATTGACTGTTAAAAATGAACCAATTATAAATTGTAAATGCGGAGACTTTGGGAGGGAAATAGAAATACCACGGAGATTTGGGAATCCTAATATATTAATTATATATATATTTGAAGTTAATATTAACTAACACAGTTTCTGAGTTGAACTACGTTAAATTTGGCTGTGCCAAGATTCAGTCCCTATTCGGGTGCTTCAGACTCTCCCATCACTATACCTTGTAGTGTTAGCCAAATTCGACGCGGTCTAACCAGAAAACGGAGTGAGTGTAATATTAATTTTTATAATAACATTAGTATTGGTTATAAGTTTGATGCTACTAATCGAGGAAGCTTTTCCAAACATCAAACTCATGTTTTTATACATTTTGGCTTTCTCCTTAGCTTCTTCATTTTCTCGGTCTTGGAACATTCGAAACAAACTGGTATTTCAATTAAAAATTGCACAAATTTTTTTGTCCACCATATTTTAATTCCAATTTTGTTCCACAAACATTTGAATTAGATTACCCTCCTTATCTGCATATTTGGCTTAAATTACACTTTTAATAATACATGATCTACGATCCCATCAATTGAATCTAATAATATAATTCATAACCACATTCTTTTAGTACCTATAAAAAGTTAGCAGTGCCTCTTTTATTATTACTTTCTTTGTAGTCATAGAGATATATTCAAGTTTCTCCTTCATTCCCTATGAAACAAGAAAAGCAAGTACAGATCTGAAGTGTACAAACTTTTTTATGGTAGTTAATAGAGTTTTTTACGAATTTTTAAAGAATCCAAATCTGCATTTAAAAATGTGGGTTTCTATGTAAAATTTCCTTTAAAGTTGCCCCTTCCCGCCCCACCCCTGGGCGTGATGGTATGAGCGTTAGGTCTCATTCGATAGGCTTTTGAAAAATATTAAACACGTGTTTTTTGGTTTTTATTTAGCAGTGTATTTCTCGAGATATTAAATCGTTTCTATAGTAATCAGAATAAATCGTTTTAACAATTGTAAAAAATATCCCCAATAAAAGTTACTTATTTTTGCATAAGGAATCCAAATCTTTAAAAAAAATTGGGGTTCCTATTTAAGATTTCAAAGTTCCCAGCCACATACCCAGGGGATGGGAGATGAGAGGTATTGCTTGGTGTTATTCGATAGATTTATAAAAAATATCGAACACATGTTTTTCACCTTTATCGAATGTAAATTTCGCGAAATATTCAACTGCTTCTTTTCTCACACCCTATATAATAATTTTAGTTCTTTGGATGTTTCTTGGGTCAAATTGTTTTTAGAGTCAAAACGTTTAAAAGATGACGTCCAAAGACTATTTACAGGTGTCTAAGTCCACTCGTAATATCCATAATACTTCCATAATTTTAAGTTAGACATTGTCATAAACTTAATTTACTTTATTTCAACATTTATTCACTTATCACTCTTATTATTCACTTATACATAATTCTGTCTGTTTTCAATGTGCCTTCAGTAAGTTGTTCCATCGTTTTCGTGGTCTTCCTATTGGGGAACATTCTCTTGCCGTCTTTACTACTCTATTTGTTGTCATTCGGCTTATATGATCGTTCCATTCTACTCTTCTATTTCTTACCCACTAGATAATGAGATGCCTAGATATTTATACTCCTTCACTTGTTGTATTATCTGACCTTCCAGTTCAAATTTACATCTTAGTAAATTTACTGTTAACATTTACATCTTAGAAATTAACATGTTAAATTTTCTGGCGGTTATATTAAATTTTTCCAGCATACGTTGTAAATCATCTTCACTTTGACGGATAAGTATTGGGACGTCTGTATAGCAGATTATTTTTAAGTTGTTTTTCTCCCATTTGGTATCCTTTTTAGTTCTTATTTTTTATTATTTCATCCATAATCAGGCTGAACAATAGAGGATTCAGTGAATCTCCCTGTCTTATCCCATTGCCAGCTTCAATAGGGTCGGTTAGTTCTTCTACTTTTACTTTTATTGCGTTGTTGTGGTTCTTCTTTTAATTTGACCGAGTCAAATGCCTTCTTAAGTTCCTCGAAACATATATATGCCAATTTGTTGTATCAAAGTTCGCTGTGTAAAATCTTGCTGGCTGTAAGAGGGAGAATCCAGCTGATACTCGGCACTCATTTGGTGCTGCTATACAAGATCTTGTTACGTCACATGAAGCACTGGGAACCGCGCATAAATTCAACTAATAACCGGTTTGTTAACAAAAACTTTTATTTTGTCCTTTTCAGTATCAGTTCTTCCTTCCTCAATCCTTTAGCCCTTGTCAGGGCGTAGTGACACCCTAAATATTATTAGTCTGCTGTCTCCATTGACTGCGATCTTGTGCCATATGGACGGCTTCATGTAGGGATTTTCCCACTAAACTCTTCATTTGGTCCACCCATCGTATTGGAGATCTTCCTCTTGGTCTTCGGCCTTCTACCTTACCTTCTACTACCAATAGTTCCATGGTGCCCGTTCTTCTAGCTATGTGGCCGAAGTAAGTTAGATATGCTTGGTTTACTTTTTTTAGTAGCCTGTCTTTTATATGAAGCTCTTCCAGAATTGACAGGTTGGTTCTATGTTCTGTCCAGGACACGCGTAGAATTCTTCTATATACCCACATTTCGAAGGCTTCGATCTTACTCCTATCGATTTTTTTGAGAGTCCATGTTTCAGCTGCATATGTAGCAATGGGAAAAATAAGGGCATTGACCAACCTAAGCTTAGTATTCCTTGTTATTGTTCGGTCTTTCCATATTTTAATTAATTTAGCAGTTGCGGTTCGGGCCATTCCTAGTCTACGTTTGATTTCTGAGGAACAATCACCATTGTTGGTTATCAGAGAGCCCAAGTATACAAATCTGTCGACTACTTCGAAAATCCCTATTTGGCGTATATGCGGTAGATTATTATTTGCTCTGTCTACAATCATTATTTTTGTTTTTCTGGTGTTGATTTGAAGTCCGAATTCTTCACTTATTCGGCTTAGCCGTTTGATGATGGTAATCATTTCGACTTCATTCGCTGCTAGTATAAGTGTGTCATCTGCGTATCGCAGGTTACTGATTTTTCTGCCTCCTATAGTGATTCCTCCATCCCATTCATCTAGTACTTTTCTCATTATATGTTCAGAATATATGTTGTACAATAATGGTGATAGTATGCAACCTTGTCTAGTTCCTTTCTCTGTTTTGAATGCATTTGAATATATTCCATGTACTTTAACTTTGGCTGAGTTTTTATTATACAGATTTCTTATTAGGTTAACTAGGTGGTTAGGTACTCCCATATTTTCCATTATACTCCAGAGAGGATCCCATTTTACTGAATCAAAAGCCTTTGTGTAATCTACAAAACAGAGCAACATTGGTATGTTATGTTCTCTCGCTTTTTCTACTAGGCAAGACTTCTTCAGTTAGGCAAGTTTATTAGATGACATATGTGATATTGTATTTTTTTGATGATGGTAATGTGGTAGATTTTTTTCATTTGTACTAAATCAAACTCCAAAATTGTTGTCGAATCTTTTTTCTTGTTTCTGTCATTTTTAGTCTCTTACATGGTTCTTTTTTGTTTTGCATCATTGCAGTAATTCTGTGAGAGATTGTGAACAAGCTGTTATACTGTTATA